AGGGAAATGAGGCTTCTGAAAATGTTAATAAGGGAAAAAAAAACACACCACTGATAAACACAAAGACACACTAGAATTCGGAGCTTGAGCCCTCTGATGCCACACCTGGTTTCCACAAATTGCTACAATATGATATATAGCACTATGTACCCTGTGAGCTCCGCATATAAATAATATGTCCTTTCATCCTGCAAAGTCCTATAGGCTATTTTCTAAAATGGACATGGGCTGACTGCTTATTCAACCTTGTAAATTAGTGGCAGTGTATCTTTATGTCCAGGGAAGGGAGAAAAGTATTCTCTCATAAATATGATTTTTGGGACCATCTATGGTACTTGGAACCATATAGCCACGTTTCCTGTTTCTCTCCTTTTTAAAATTATTATCTCTCCACTATTTCCTTTCATTCATCTGAGTGCTTCATTCTAAAAAAAAAACACACACACATTGCAGGGGCACACAACAAATGCCATCGGCACACACACACAATGCATGGGCACACCCACACATACACACATCTCTTGGACTGTTCTGTCTGATCAAGAGAATCACTCCATTCATCATTCCATTTGGCACCAAACTTAACAGGATCTATATTTTACAACTTTCCCATTCACTAATTAAGTAACTTGAATTTTGCTTTTATCCTCATCACTTTTTGCAGAAATCATAATCATTTTTACAGAGGTCACTGGGGCCTTCTAATGTAGGGGCTTTATCGTGATCTCCTTCCTACTAGGATCTCTTTGTGGTAAGAGCTCCTTCTAACACTTCTGTCCCAGTAATTTCATCCACGACTTGAGTATCATCAATCTTTTATCCATCACTATCTTCATCTTTTTCTGGCTTTTCCTCTGCCATCTCTCTTGATGTCTGTACTCTACTCTTAGCTACCTTAACTAGCAATTTTGTGATCCCCTAATGTATTTTCATGCATTTCCACTGTCTCGTCGACTTCCTATGCAATCATGCTCCTGTAGGGCAGCCCCTTTCATTCTACATTTCTGGATATTTCCATATACTGTAGAAGATTGTAGATAATGCCTGCTGGATATTTCCAAGTGGATGTCCCCTAGGCCTTTCAAACTCACAGTGACCAAATCTCACACCTTGGCACTCAATTCCTTTGTTTTCTCATATTCCTCCTTTTGGGGGATGTTTATATTATTAGCCTAATCTCCTAAATTTAAGAATTTCAAAGTCAGTTCCAACTCCCTGCCCCTTTCTTTTCCCATTTACTCTGCTGTTAGGTACTATTGACTTTACACTCCATTATCTCTTGAACCTCTCCCTGTCTCCTTATTGTAGCCTCACAACCCTGGTGAACTCTTATCCTCTGTTTACTATCAAAATAGCTTTTTAGCTTGGCTTCCACTTCTAATCCATCTTCTACAATATTGGCGGAATTATCTTATATAGTGCAAGTCTTATCACACCACCTCACTGCCTCCATCTCTGTGGCATCCACCTCCCTCACTGCCTACAGTTGAACTGCTTAAACAAGGCAGAGTGTACAAGGCTGGCTCTGGAAAACATTACTGTGGGGGGATATTACACCTCCTTGAAGTGTCGATTTTCTTCAATGATAATAATTTAGGTATAGAATAACCTCAATGAAAAGAGGTTAATAACCTCAATGGAATGAATAGAAGAGTACATAAATATATATGCATTTTTACAATCTATCTAAAAAATTCAAATAAAGTCTGTGCTTGTTGTGGGGTGTCCTAGATCTCTGCACTACGCTTTGCTATATTTCAGAAGAAGAAGTTGAGGAGTGCTGGTGTGTAGGAAAATCCACATTTCTAAGTGAAATATACAAGCTCTTTATAATTGAAACTAATTACCTTTAAGAATCACTTTGTTCCACTCTTTCCAGTGAATTGAATGGCTTGAAGGATTTCTAGAAGATGCATTGTAATGTTTTGTTACCTCCAGGAAGGAAATCTTCAGGGAACATCTCCATCCACTCAAATTGACCTTTTCCTACAGCATATTGCGAAGGGAAGGCGTTCATGTCATCACAATTGTTTAATATCTTTTGTTTCTTAAAGTTTTGTAATCCATATGCACTTCCTACAAAATCCACCTAGAGGTATTTAAACACCATTACAACAAACAAACATATGCAAAACTTATGCCTAAAAGTTAATCATTTTATAGCCTTAAATAATTTATTATCCAACACTCTTTATTGTGCTTATAATAAAGTAAAAGTTTTTCTTGAAACACGCAAAATATTTACAGATACAAAGAAGGTATGAAAAAATGCCCCTAAATTGTTCAGTATATGAAATAAGTGTTTTTATTTTTTGACCATAAACTCATATATGCTTAGAAATAAAGGCCTTCTTCTTTGTTGCCAAGGAAACATAGAAATCTTCCCCAAACAAATGAATCAGATACTTGCTTTAATTCTACCATTGACCATAACTAGTCACATATGCCACATGATAATATATGTGTTCAAACTCTAGTTTGCTATTTGAAGGATAACTAGAGCACTTCTCACTACTGAAGAGAAAAGCTATCAATTAAAATGATGTATTAAAGTATTTAACATATCTTAATATAGCTAAGAAATGATTTAGGATATGAGGATTTATTCAGTAAATGTCAAATTGGAATAAATAAAACAATTTCTTAAATTTTTGAACTTTGGATTTTGCTTCTAGAATCGCAGAACAGTACTTAACAAATCACTCTTCTACGGTAGTCTCTTAAACTGAAGTACGTTACTTTTTAACTTATAAAAAAGATTTCTATATAAGCTACATATGGCTTTAGTGACTACAGGATATGACAATGAGCATCCAACCACTTCCAAATTTACGCATATTCAGTAATAAACGTAAAACGGGATTATTGTAGAAATAGGATATTCTCCATAGCTCATGCTATCAAAGAAAATGTTGATCTAAATCTATTTGGAAGTGTTCTGGCACTTGAATTTGATACGCAATTTGGGTAATAAAGGGATTGTGCTGCCCACTCCCTAGTGCCAGAAAAAGCAGTTTAGGATGTCTGTTCAGCAATGTGCTGTCAGCATAAACCCAATTCCACACTCTTGAGAGGGAGCACTGGGTTCAGATGCTCACAAGGCACTATTGAATTCACAATGACAAAACAGCATCTAAATACTTTACATGAGCATATCAGATGTACTAGATCTTCTCAATCACTACCTGACATATTGTCAAGCTTTGAAAAGATTTCTTAAGGTTCTGAAAGTAAGCCAAGGATATCATTTAGACAAGTTATATATTCATTTAATGTAGTTTCATGTTGTCACAGAGTCACTTCAGATTCCTTATGATTCTGAACTACGTGATTAGATTCAGAACATAATAGACTAGATCACTTTTAGGTAAGCTAATTCCGACTAAACTCCTTAAAACAGAAATATCATATATATCTGTTTTAGGTTGCTTTAATGAAATACATATAAACAGCAATGTGGCCAAAAGGTTGAAAACTAAGGTGAGAGATAACAATTGGAAGGTCAAATGCTAAAGTATTCACTGTCTTGAAAGAAAATAACTGGAAAAAGCTAAAAGCATCAGTCCAATGGTCTTTTTCCACATTTCTCATCTTGTAAGTTTTCTGTGATCCTTCAGTTTTGTTAGTGTTCCTGAGATACTGTGTATATGCTGGAGAAAATATGTTATAGAGCTTTTCTTTTAAATTAGGAAACCACCAAAAACCCTCTAGAGTTCAAAAAGCCCTTTACAGTATTATATATGTTTCTTTGTAATGAGTACAACCAGTGAGATTTTTACAAGATGATCGGAAAGTACCACAGTTAATGAAATAAAATATATAAATCCCTCAATCTACAAACTAGAATAAAAATAAATAAATAAAAAGCCTTAAATAGGCCAGGCTCAGTGGCTCACGCCTATAATCCCAGCACTTTGGGAGGCTGAGGTGGGCGGATCACAAGGTCAGGGGATTGAGACCATCCTGGCAAACATGGTGAAACCCCGTCTCTACTAAAAATACAAAAAATTAGCAGGGCGTGGTGTCCGGCACCTGCAGTCCCAGCTACTCGAGAGGCTGAGGCAGGAGGATGGTGTGAACCCGGGAGGCGGAACTTGCAGTGAGCTGAGATCATGCCACTGCACTGCAGCCTGGGCAACAGAGTGAGACTTTGTCTTAGCAAAAAAAAAAAAAGTCTTAAATAGCATAAGTGGTTCTACTTAGGCAGTAAATCTAAATAAGGACAATTAGAAACATGAAGAAAAATAATTTTGAGACTTGATGCTGAGAAATCCCTCAGCAAATATCTCTAGAAAATGAAACCACAGGCCAGGCATGGTGGCTCACACCTGTAATCTCAGCACTTTGAGAGGCTGAGGCAGGTGGATCATGAGGTCAAGAGATCGAGACCAACCTGGCCAACATGTTGAAACCCTTTCTCTACTAAAAATACAAAAATTAGCCAGGCGTGGTGGTGTGCACCTGTAGTCCCAGCTACTCAGGAGGCTGAGAGGCAGGAGAATTGCTTGATCCCAGGAGGCAGAGGTTGCAGTGGGAGCTGATATCACGCCACTGCCACTCCAGCCTGCGCAGACAGTTTTGAGAAAAAAAAAAAAGAAGAAAGAGAGAGAGAGAGAGAGGGAGGGAGGAGGGAAGGAGAGGAAGGAAGAAGGCAAACACATGGGTGATACTAGAAATTTAAAATTTCTTACTGTCCCATATTGATTGTAAAGATACTATCTAGAGGGTGAAATCTATTCATGACTCAGTTTTCTGGAGTAAGCCCACAAGGCCACAGTTACCTTGCTAATATTAAGAAGGGGACAAAAATGTCTGTGGTCACGGTGGACGTGCACATAGACTACCTTGGGGAGGCCTGGCTGCTTTGGGTGTGTGTGATTTACTACACATGCATACCTGATTTCACACACACAGCTGGCCAACAGTGCCAACTTGTGCAACTATTTAGAGTGGAATTTGACAATTTCTACCAAACTTAAGGGCTGTATGTTACCTCTTGACCCTGCTAGGACTTTAACATACAGACAGTACCGGCCAAAGTACCAATGGAAGAACAGAACAAAGAGAAGCCACGCGTTCTACACTGACAGCACCCAGTCAGGTGCATAAATAGCAAACAAAGCAAACACAAAGCAGCTGTTGGACGTGTCCATCCAGTGCAAGACTGGTTAAATAAATCGCATGATCCTATTAATACAATGGTAAGAGGTTGACTAATGCTGCTGTAGCAGCCCTCCCTTCCCGGCACACTCCTCCGGCCTCGGCCATCCAGCTCTAAGCAGCAGGGGGCTCTGAACGAGCCCTGTCAGCCCCCACTGCACTGTGGGGAGCCCGCCCTCTCTGGCTTGTCCGAGGCAGAGCCGGCTGCCTTTGCATTATGCTGTGGAGGTGTGGAGGGAGAGGCGCGGGGTGCGGAACCGAGGCCCTGCACTCAGGTGCTCATAGGCCAGCTAGGCAGTTCCGGGTGTGGCCGGGTGGGTCCACGGAACCCGCACTCAGAGCAAGCCGGCCTGCGCCCACAGGCCCCGGCAGTGAGGGGCTTTAAGCAACCTGGGGCCAGCAGACTGCCAGGAGGGTGACACCCGCGTCCCTGGCAGCTGTGCGGCCCACCAGTGCTGCGCTTGAAATTTTCACTGGACCCTCGCTGCCTCCCTAAGGGCAGGGCTCCAGACCTGCAGCCCGCCATGGCCTCAAGCCTCCCCTACCTCAGTTGGCTGGTGGGCTCCTGTGCAGCCCGAAGCCGTCCCACAGGCACCGCCCCTGCTCCCTGCCCGCTGCACAGTCCCATTGACCACCCAAGGGCTGAGGAGTGCAGGTGAGGCTTGGGACTGGCAGGCAGCTCCGCCTGCAGCCCCAGTGCGGGATCCACTAGGTGAAGCCTGCTGGGCTCCTGAGTCTAGTGGGGACTTGGAAAATTTTTATGTCTAGCTAAGGGATTGTAAATACACCAATCAGCACCCTGTGTCTAGCTAAAGGTTTGTAAATACACCTATCAGTACTCTGTATCTAGCTAACCTAGTGGGGACTTGGAGAACTCTTCTGTCTAGCACTCTGTCTAGCTAAAGGATTGTAAACGCACCAATCAGCACTCTGTCAAAATGGACCAATCGGCTCTCTGTAAAGTGGACCAATCAGCTCTCTGTAAAATAGACCAATCAGCTCTGCTGATTGTTGGCTGCTGGCGCCAACGAGCAGCAACCTGCTTGGGTTTCAACAACACTGTGGAAGCTTTATTGTTTAGCCCTTTACAATAAATATCACTGCTACTCACTCTTTGGGTCCACCCTGCCTTTAAGAGCTGTAACACCCACCGCAAAGGTCTGCAGCTTCACTCCTGAAGCCTCCAACACCACAAACCCATGGGGAAGAAGGGACAACTCCAGACGCACTGCCTTTAAGAGCTGTAACACCATGAGGGGCTGCAGCTTCACTCCTGACAGCCAGACCATGAACCCACCAGAAAGAAGAAGCTCTAGACACATCCCAAGGAACAAACTCCAGACACACCATCTTTAAGAACTGTAACACTCACTGCGAGGGTCCAGCTTTATTCCTGAAGTCAGTAAGACCAAGAACCCACCAATTACCGACACAGTGGGATATTATGAAGCTGGTAAAAACTGGTAAATTTCCAAGTGCTGATTTATATTTTGGTGTATTCCAAAATATATTTTGTGAGTAAAATAGTGGAAATCTGAGTTCATACTTTTGCAAATAAGAAAACTATTAACGTGCGTTTTCGTGTAAGCATTTTTTTTTAACCTGGAAAATATCTAAGAAACTGTTAACATGATTCCACTGTTGAAAGAGATTTGTGAGGAGGGTTTGAAGAGTCTTTTTAATGTTGTCTCAACATTTTAAAAGAGCCCCTTTTTCCTGCTGACAATCTGATGAAATCCAATGGTGGACTCTGAGCACCAAACAGCCTTTATCCCTCAGACTACACCATCAGGTAGTAGCTAGTGCTGCCTTTAGGGCCCAAGAACTGCATAAGAAACAAGTAACTATCCTAGAGCCTCAGGCCACTCATCCATCTTCAAAAGGTCACCTCCTCCACAGCATTTCCTGACGCCCGCACCCCCTGAAGAAGGAATTCGCCAGTCCTGCCTGCATTTTACAGGGGACATTTTCTCTGGTTTCTCTGTTTCACTCTGTTAGACCAGAAGCCTTCTCAACCCCTAAAACTCTTAAATAGCTATCCGACAACAACCAGACACAGCTATTGGGTTCTTTGGTTCTAAACAAAATCTATAAAAAAGTTCAAGTGAAACGGCACACATTCCAAATTGTCCTGCTTTTAGGCAGTTGCCCGATCTTGTGCCAAATGATAGATACTTTTTGAGTAGGTTTCCCTGGACTACAGTCGTCCAGGAACAAGAAGAGTTTGGGCAGACAAGCAAACAAAATAAAGCAGGCGCTGTGTGGGCGCGTCATTAGCGGAGTCTCCTCTAGGACTGTGAACACTCCCCCCAAAGCCTGCAACCCCCTGGCCACTCCACGCTTTCTCCAAACCAAGGGCTGCTCGCAAGGAAACCTAGAGCCGACCCCGACCAGACTTCAGAAACCGTCCCGACTCTCCAGCCCCCAGAGTACCTTAAGCGATACCTTGCAGTCCCCGGCATCGTATGGCACAACCTCATAGACAATCGCCCGGGGTCTCCTTTTCTCCAGGGCGCCGCATCTTCCTCGGGCTGCGCTTCATTGACGCCACCTGGTGCAGCGCCGGCACCTGGGGCGAGACAGCGCTGTCACCCGGCCAGGCGCTGGCGTCTGCACGAGCCGGAGCGCTCCGGCGCTGCAGCTCACAGGCAGCGAAAAACTCGCTCCGCGGGAGCCCTGGAGAACTTCTGAAAGTTCTCAGGCCCGCGCTACTTACAGTGCAGGAAGCAGGCGGGGCCTGGAGAGGAGGTAGAAACACAGACCTCCTTCGCAAAGAGGGAGGCGGTGCCGCGTCTGCGTGGGACTCGCCGTTTCCGGAGCAAAGTGAGTCGCCCGTCCCGCTCTCCTGCAGCTGCAGCAGCGCACTCCCAGAGTCAAGCATGTCAGTTCGGTGTGGATGCAGCGAATTTGTGATAATCTACACACTAAGAGCCCCCTTGCCTCGCCCTGCCGCCCCCCTCAACGGTGTGTGTGTGTGTGTAAAGAGAGGAAGAGAGAATGACAAGGTACATTGGAAAGTTTTTTTAGTTTTCAGGATTTTTTTCCAACTAAAATTCTATGGACCTGTGTTTCCCTCCATGTGTATCTCCTTCTGGGGGCCTCTTTGATAAGGAAATAAGGTTTTTAGCAAACTTCTCATTTCAAACATTTGGGAGAACAGCTAAACGCTAGCACTGGTTTGAGGGACCAGATTAAGTCCTCATGAATCTCAGGTCCCATTTCCTGTGGATAATAGTATTGATCCCGTCATGCTTTAGTGTTTAAGGGTGGTTAATAAAAAAAGTTAGGTTAAAGGTAAGCCACTGCTGACTGGTATGTTTGTTTGCCCCCAGCTTTGTTTGAGAGACTTACCTTCATAGGTCTGCTCTGCATACGTGTCAATTGTGTAAAATAAAAGGCGTTCCCTCTCAATCAAATAGGCTGGTTCTACTTTTATGTAGAGACAAGGAAGCCTCTGAAACTGTTGGCGGTAAGTTCAAGTTAACAAGGCTAGAAAGCAAGAAACCTTCTTTCTAAGGCTGATTATACCTTGCACAGGACAGAACGTAGCTTTGACAATCTTTTGCTTTGACAGACTGTGCTTCCTGAAGGCCCTGGATTGTCGTATTCATCTGCTCATATCCAGCACTTAGCACAAGGCCCCCGTGGATCTAGGACCTGGCATAGAGGTGCACTCAGTAACAGTTTGTGGACTGTCTGACCTAGGGGCTATGGTGGGCTGAGCTTAGGGCTAGGCAGAGTGGGCATGACGATGTTAAGGAACCATGAAAGGTCCCCCCAAATCTTCCAATAGATATGGCAGGTTGCCATCAATTCCACCCCTGAAGTGGAATTTCTTGGAAGGATTATATTGAACTTAACCATATCATGAGTCCATGAGTATGACTTGCTAGAGGATACAAGGTGTTCTACTTCACCCTCTCACACTTTCCCCACCAGCATCTTTGTTCAGGGTGTACAGAATAGGAATCAGTTGCACAGCTTGCTATGATTTAGTTGAAGGAGGTAATGCATTTGGAGAAACCAGTAAAGAAAAGAATCAGAGGGATGGGTAAAGAGAATAACTCTCACTGAGCCACCGCTGTCTACCTGACATTTTCCATACACTGGGTTCACGCTTTAAAATGGAAATACCTCATAGAAGTATGATGACTTTTTATTCTTTATCATGGATTACTTTGATCAATTGCTTTTCCCACAACACTTAGCTGAAAAGGGTCACTAAGGCGAAAAGGGAATAAAGAGGATGTTCAAAGTGGTCATTTTGGAAGCTGGAGCAGAAGGCATGTCATCAGATGGCTCTGTTGGCCCTTAGAGACCAGGGAGGGAGGTGCTGCAGGGAACTCCAGCAATGGAGGATGGAGGAGAAGGCTGGGAGAAAAGTGGCTCCAGGTCAACAGCACCCCTCCTTTGTAACATCCCCTGGGGCCAGCTGCCAGCACAGAATGATGCTTTCTGCATTCTTGCTTCTCTACCCTATTTACATCCCCAAAGCATGTATTCTTTTAAATTTGTCTTCTCCAGCTTTAACACTGAAAAATATGGATGGTTAGTATTATAGAACTGAATGTTTATATATATATATATATACACACACACACACACACACACACAGAGAGAGAGAGAGAGAGATGTTTGTTTCTAGACCCCTATCTTCTGTTGATCAATATCCCTATATTTAAGCCAATACCATATGGTCTTGATTTATATATTCAGATTATTAATCCCTTGTCAGATGGGTAGTATGATGGTTAATATTAGGTGTCAACTTGACTAGATTGAAGGATGCCTTGATGGCTGATGAAGCATTATTTCTGGGTATGTCTGTTGCATTGAGTCTATAGGTCCATTGGGTGAGAAGGGTCATTTTTAAAATATTAAGTCTTCTGATACATACATGGCACATTTTCGATTTATGTAGATCTATCTTGATTCTCTTCGTAGTGTTTTGTAGTTTTCCATGTATAGTTCATGCATATTTTTGTTAAATGTATTGTTTTTTATTAGTTTTAAGCTATTTTAAATGGAATGGTTTTTTGTTTGTTTGTTTGTTTTTGTTTTGTTTTGTTTTGTTTTGAGATGGAGTCTCATTCCAGGCTGGCGTGCAGTGGTGTGATCTTGGCTCACTGCAACCTCCACCTCCTGGGTTCAAGCGATTCTCCTGCCTCAGCCTCCCAAGTAGCTGGGACTACAGGCACGCACCATCATGCCTGGCTAACTTTTGTATTTTTAGTGGAGACGGGGTTTCACCATATTGGTCAGGCTGGTTTTGGACTCCTGACCTCATGATCCACCCGCCTTTGCCTCCCAAAGTGCTGGGAAAGTGCTGGGATATAGGCATAAGCCACCACACCCAGCCGGAATGTATGCCTAGTGACTTTGAGACCCTTCGTGTGATAGCTGCCTTTAATGAGGGGCCATTGTCACTTTGTAGGTACTTAGGTAGACGAAAGCAGGGAATTATTTCATTAAATAACATTTTTATTACCTTAGAGGCCTTTTCTGTACAGCATGGAAATGCTTCTACCCAGTTAGTGAAAGTATCTACCCACACCAGGAGACACTGGATGCCCTTCCTCTTTGGCATATGGGTGAAGTCTATCTGCCAGTCCTCCCCTCGATAGCTTCTCATCTTTTGTGTTTGAGGAGGAAGGAGCCACCTGTTGAGGGGATTATTTTTAAGACAGACTTCACCAGCATTAACAACCTGTTTTACTGTTTTTAATAAATTAACTCCTGAAAACAATCTCTGGGCACATTGATAAGTTTTATCCTTTCCCAAGTGAAAAGCTTGGTTTAGGATCTTAAGGAATTTCCACTGGTTGAAGGTGGGCAAGTAGAGCTTGCCATCCTATGACTGTAGACATCCAGAGGGTTAGAAATTGTACCCTCGACAAATAGTGAATTCTACCTCTGCAAGGGAGTACTGGGGCTTAATTTCTTTTATGAAGCCGTCACAAATTAGAGGGGCTTTGTGTGTTGAGGCCCTGAAGCTTTCTTGCCACTGACTTGGCTGCCTGATTAGCTAACTTGCTTCCTTTGGCTATTTCATCTGTTCCCTTCTCATGACCCTTAGAATACATCACTGCTATCTCTTGTGGATGGAAAACTGAAGATAATAATTGGTAAATTTCCTGATAGTATTTTATAGGAGATCCATTAGTCATAAGAAAGTGTCTTTTTTTCTAAATGGCAGCATGAGCATGAAGAACTAAGAAAGCATATTTGAAGTCAGTGTAAATGTTAGTTACATAGTTACATTTCCCTTGCTTAATTCAAGTGCTTTTGTAAGAGCTATCAGTTCAGCTAGTTGAGTGCTTGTGCCTGGAGAGAGAGGTGCACGTTCAATAACATCATTCAAAATGACTACTTCCTATCCTGCCTTATAGACCTCTTGTTCCACAAAGGAACTTCCATCTGTAAAGAGGTTCCAGTCTGGAGTTTCTAGGGGAGTTTCCCTAATGTCCTCTCTGACTGCATAGGTTTGTACCATGACTCATTCGCAGTCATGTTCAGGTTCCCATTTCATTGGGGAGGAAAGTGGCTGGGTTTAAGCAAGAAAAGTTTTTTACTGAACTGATGACCCCTCTAAGAGGAGAGCCTGATGTTTAAGCAGCCATTTGTCTGTTAGCCAAAGGCTTCCCACAGAAGACAGCAATCCCGCTACATCATCTGGGGTATAAACAGTTAAGACATTTCCCAGGGTTAATATGGTGGCCTCTGGTACCAGCAGGACCACTCCAGCAATTGCTCAGAGGCATGCTTGCCATCCTTTAGCCACCAAATCAAGTTTCTTGCTCAAGTAGCCCACTGGTTGTTGAGCTGGTCCTCAAACTTGAGTTAAAACTTCAAAGACCATTTCCTTCTTTTCTGATACTTAAAGATTGAAGGTCCTCCTACGGGGAGGCTGATGGCTGGTGCCTTAAGTAAGACTTGTTTTAGCTGGCTAAAGGCCTTTTGAGACTCAGGTTCCCAGGTTGGGAAATGGCTTTTAGCCACTTGAGTTTCTTTTTTGAGGTGATATAAAAGATTGAATGCCTATTTAACCATACCCAGGTATCCATAGTCTGCAAAATCCTGTAATGCTCCAAAATTCTCTTATTTGCTTGAGGATTTTAGGGAGGGGGAGGTTGAAAATGGGCTTAATTCTTTCTTCCCCTAATGCTCTGGTCCTTCAGACAACTCTAAACCCAGGTACTTTACTGAGGTTTGGCAAAGCTGGGCCTTGGATTTTGAAACCTTACATTCTGTCACGTAAGAAATTAAGAAGAGCTTCAGTGCCTTCTGGAGAAGCTTCCTCAGTGGGGTCACAGAACAGAAGGTCATCTACACATTGCAAGACCCTGACCTGAGGATGGGAAAACACAGAGAGGTCCTTTGATAGTGACTGTCCAAACAAATGAGGACTGTCTTGAAATCCCTGAGGCAGCACCATCCATGCTAACTGGGTGTTTTGGCCAGAGGGATCTTTGAAAGCAAACAGATAGTGAGAGTCATGATGTAATGGAATACAGAAAAAGGAATCCTTTAGATCTAGGACCATGAACCATTTAGTTCCCTCAGGTATTTGAGTCAGCAAGGGATAAGGACTAGGGAC